CTCTGTCTCTCTCTGTCTCTCTGTCTCTCTGTCTCTCTGTCTCTATCTCTATCTCTATCTATCTATCTATCTATCTATCTATCTATCTATCTATCTATCTAATATGTATATAATTAAACATATTTTCCTAATGCAGATAATTTAAACTATAACTTTACCTATCATCCATTTAAAAGTTGGATAGATAGATAGGAATTCTTACCATAGATAGATAGATAGGAATTCTTACCATTGAAATCAAAAGCACAAGCCAAAAAACATATAAATTCAATCTTGTTTAGTTCTTCCAAACTGTATGCTTTTAATCCAACACCCTAAAGCTCAGAATATAGAGAAATGTCATTTTAATCAATTCATTTGAATCTACAGTGTTACAGCAGCATCAATAATCTATTATTACATTTTAGTTGAGCCTTAATTGTAATTAAAGTCATGTCAAAATAATTGTCTTTCCATGTAAGAAGTACTGCTAGGTACAGAACTATATGCTGGTAGTTCAAAAGCTACTGCTCACTTAATTTTACTTATGATGGAAACATTTGTTAATATAACTAAGAAAAACTGTCTGTGTCTTTTTCAAATTAAAGACCTTGCCATTTTCCAAATTAAATGGAGCAGTATAAAAGCAGGACAATAGTAGTATTTTAGATAAGGATGAAAATTATCAATCAAAGTGTAATCTATATATTGCATGCTTGCAAATTTTACAAAAGGAATGCCTGATCTATTTAAATTGAGTGCAGTAATTAAGATTAGACATACTGAAAGTATTTGTTTAAATGACTATGATCATTTCACTAAATATGAAATATGACTTTGAATCAACCAACTCATGATTCAGATTATATGATATATTAGATGGTAATACCATCAGATCCTGATTATGGATATAACATTGTTTACATTGTAAGGAAAAAAGAATAAATTTAAGAATAGATTTCCCCCTGCTTTTTATGAAATCGACTTCTTTTGCATCCATAAACTAGGATTCTAAGAATGACAGTGAGTTCTTTTTTCTTTCATAAACATATCACTTTATATTGAAGTTTGCTTCTGAAAATTCCATTCATTTCAGTAATGATTGCTTGTGGTTCAAAAAAGTATTTCAAAAAATGGTAAATTTTTCAAAACCAATAAGTCCTAATGCAGAGGAAATATTTAATTTCCATGGAACCAAATGAATGTACATATGAGTAATGTATTTTATACCAACAAACTGGTATAAACAAATCTAACACTTTGGACAGCATTAGGACCATTATTACCTCTAGCTTGTTGGAAATTTCAGATGGACCTTTTAAAAAAATGTAGTGGCAATAAGTAGAATTAGTAAAATAATAAAGGATCTCCTATCAATTAAATCTTCCACTTTGGAAAATATTACAAAATTATCTGGAATCACTGAACTAATTTATATCACATGCCTTCTAATACTTCACATACAATATAAATGCAATTGCTTTGCATATTTTTGCTCTGATTTATAAACCAGGATGTATGGCTTGGCACATCTATGATCCCATCTAAAATGCAGTACATTTTGCTTCCATGAACTAAAGCAAATGTTAAAGATACTGGAGGTCTGCAGTGAATGGTATTAATGGAACTCAATTTCCTAAATAACATATCATAGTTTAAGGATTTTGGATTCATGAAATAGTTTGTACTTAATGTTAAGTTCATGTTTCCTTGATTTCTATGGAGATTCTCCGTAATCCAGCACTTTTGGGACTACTGTGGCTTGATTCATGCACTATGATTAATCACATATAAGCAAATTATATTTTGGACCATTCAGATGTATAGCTCCAATCAATAATTTCACCGAATGTGATTTGTTTGGTTTCTTATCATATGAAGTAGGAATCCAACTATACCATTACATAACAATCAGGCCCCTACAGTGTATTGATCAAGTTATGATAGGAATATATAGTTTAGTATTATAGTTTATGCCAGATTCTTTTACAAACTTTGGCAAGAGTCACTCTACCAAAAACAATTTAATTAGTTTTTCAGTATCACGTTTAAAACATTGACATAAAATGGAAGACCTGATCTAAAATTAAATTTAATACTATAGCCCAGTAGATGGTTTAGTTATATATACATTTAGGTTTCCTTAATTTTGACTTAGAATTATGGCTCCTATTCTATTATATTTATTCAATAACCAAGGTTAAGTAAACTTTATTATTTGTATTAAACTAAACTTTATTATTACTATTTGTAATGAATATTTCAATGAAGGATCAGCTTGACCATAGTTAAGGCACTGTACTAGAAACCAGAAAACACTCTGAAATCTAGTCCTGCCTTAGTCTCAAAATCACAAACCTGACCATTAACAGTTATACAGTATTCATTGTTTAATTCTTCACTTATTCAGGAAATGGATGTCTTGCCTTTCTAATGCTAGTTTATCCTTCAGGATGTTCAGGGTTTAAATTCAAAATAAAATACTGTGCCAATATAAGAAGATAGATGCTTTATTATCTTTGATATTTACGGAACATGTCTTACCAGCACTCTCTGATTCTTAGACCAAGGAATAGTAAATGTATGGGTGACCGTGTGTGTGTGTGTGTGTGTGTGTGTGTGTGTCTGTCTTTCTGTCTGTCTCTCTGTCTGTGTCTGTGTTTATGTATGTGTATGTCTGTGTATATATTCCATCTAAGAATGTTTTGCCTTTTTTTGCAGCAAGGATAAAAGAGGCAGTCAACCAAATGGATGCAGCTATCTAGCTTGACAATACTATATGCCATTCTACTTTTTAAGTTTTTAAAACAGTATTTGTTTGTTTACAGATTTAAATGACCATCTATATTGTGCCAGATAGCTCTCAACAGGTAACAACAGTAACAAAAATGCAAACAATTAAAACAATGCAAGATAAAAATCAAGAATATGTTAATTTTAAAATAACTAAATTTTCAATAATTTTGCAGTGCAAAGCCTCTAGTGTAAGTTTGGCAATTTAAGATGTGTGGACTTAAAATCCTGGATTTCCCCAGCCAGAGTTCTGGGTGTTGAAGTCCACAGAAAGTTGCCAAGTTTGAAAAACATTGCATAGACTAAAACAAAGTCAACAAACTGTACATTATCATTTCATATGAGTTATTTAAGCTATGGGGTTATGACATAAGCTTTCATAGACAAAATCTATTTTTGTAATTTAGTTTGCTGTATCATATAACTAAAAAAAAAAACACAATTGATTTTGTTAGCTTTTATGATACAATAGGACTGGTTTTTTTTCCCCCCAG